TTAAAATTTAGTTCGAGTCAAAATTCAAGCTCGAACAATAGCTTAACTCGAACAAACGAGTTTGAATCGAGCCGAACACGAACAAGTTATTCACGAGCTATTTCAAACATGAGTGGAACACGGATAAAAAAAAAATTTAACGAAATGAACAAGAACAAGCCTTAGTCTTGCTCAAGCTCAGCTCGTTTACACCCCTAACTACTACCCACTTATTTTACTGCTTTCTGCTTGGTAAAAGAAACAACTTGAGTAATAGGGCAACTGGAAGCAATGTGTCCAAACCATGACATCTAATACACCTCCTTGCAGACACTGTTGGGTGTACTATTCCGCTTTGGCTTCTTCCTGCTCTAATTAGCTCTATCATCTTAATGGATAGCTTTCACATTTTCCTCAGATGTGCTCCTACTGGCTCCTATTGTTAGTGTTATTAAATTCTTTATTTTCTTTTTTACATTATTTATAATATTTTGTTTATTTTATTTATATATATTTTAATATTTTTTATTATAATGGCGTGTTTGACTTGCGTCTGTGTCTTATATTTTCAGTAATAGAAGTATCCAGTGTCCGTGCAGTACCGTGTCGTGCCCGTGCAAAATAGGCGCTATGTATGTAAATGCCCCAAAATATATATTATGCATCACATTATTTGCATTAGAAAGCCTAAACCTGGTTCATCCTGGGTGTGCAACTCCTCTTGGGCTTCCTCCCACTCTAATTAGCTCTATCATCTTAATGGATAGCCTTCACATTTTCCTCAGGTGTGCTCCTAGTGGCTCTTATTGTTAGTGTTATTAAATTCTTTAATTTCTCTTTTGTTTTATTCTTAATATTTTGTTTATTATATATACGGGAAGAGGACCCCTAAGGGTGAGTCAAATGTATTTTTTTGTGTTTTCTAGATGGGGACCCTCTTCCCCTCCCTAACCTTGTACCTTCTTTCTAGATGGGGACCCTCATCTTATCAATTTATTAGCTGACTCCTTCCCTAGTACTAGAGGCAGAGACAATGCAAAATTGGGCCGCTCTCTAGCTAGCTGATACTCCGTATTTTGACATTTTTTTCTTTTCTCTTTAGTTCTCTCATGTACTTTTTCTGTATTTTCTCTTTTTGGAACCATTGATGTGGTGGTTATCGTGTGAGCAGGGTGTCATGTTTGGGCCCTCCCACACAATCTATTTGTATCTTACTTTCTATTTAATATATTAGCCTTGAGGTATTCTAAATATAGATTTGTAAATCAATTATATATATATATATATATATGTTCATTTAATTTTTAAATGTACATTTGATGAGTATTATTTTTAAATAATCCAATAAAAGTTTATAATTGATTAAAGTCAGATTAACTAAAAAATTAAATATACATTAAGTAAATACATAAGATAAATACAAGATATTCAGTAAAATGTAAAATAAATTAAAATAAAATTTAGGTTTTAGAAATGTAAATACATAACAATTGGGTAGTGTGCATATAAATGCCCTTCGGATTTAAAAAAAAAAGAAATTTTAGAAGTTAGGCATATAAATACATAAGAATTAGGTGGTATCTATGTAATTGATCCAATATTTTCCCTAAAAGATTTGTTCATGCCTACGACCCAGTGGCCCACTGTTGCATGTGGTGTAAGGGAACTTATGTAAACTCATAAGAATTTGGTGGAATGTATAATGCATGTAATCTCTAACCCGCATTGCGCCAGGAGCTAGGCTTGGTTTTGTCTCACATTCGGACTTCAAAGAAAACTTCACTGAGAATCCATTATAAAAGTAAAACTAACAGAGTGTTAAATTTTTCTGTCTTTTGTAGTGTTTGACTTCTGGCTCTATGGGATCATATCAGGTTTTCCCTCAGGTTTACCACGAATCATTCGAAGTCCAGGAGGACTGCAACCTTTTCAAAAAGACGGGTAGGAAGAGTGGTAAACTGACTCTATTCTTCTCTGATGCTGAAGTTTCCAACCTGGTTAACAAGTTGAAATTCACCCTCATTGGGAAGGTCTAATCGGAACATCCCAAAATGGAAATCATTCGAAAGGTTTTTGAAGATCTCAAACTATTGAGACTTTGAAAGGTTGGCCTCTTTGATGGGAGACATGTGCTGATACAATTGTCTAAAGTGAAAGACTATGCCAAAAAATTTTCCAAAAGGTTTATGACAATAAATGGAAAATATATGAAACTGCTTAAGTGGTCTCCTGAATTTGACCATAGCCAAGAACCACCTATAGTTCCAATCTAATTTAAACTATCTGGCCTAAAGTTGCACTACTTCAATCACCAAGTCCTCTATTCTATTTGAGCTGCACTAGGGAGACCTATGAAATTTGATACACCGACCTTCAATCTAACCAGATCTTTAGTTGCAAGAATTCTTGTTGAAAGGCATATCACCCTCCCTGATGTGAACAAACTATGGTTTAATACTGCCCACAATGGGATTGACAGCCAATTGTTACAGAACAAAGACCCTACTACTGCAATCACTGTAAACTCTTTGGGCACACCCTTGTCAAATGCTTTAAGCTTCACCCATATTTGAGATCGGCAGGTTCTAATAACATCATCCATGTGGAGGAAAATATAACAAACAGTGTTAATCTTCCAGAAATGTTGAATGAGAATTTGACTCATAAGGCTACTCTTCACCAACTAGACCAGTAGTTTCCGCCTATTGTTGTTGAGACAACTCTTCCTCAGATCACAAATACTACGAATTTTGTTGTAGCAGATGCTAACTTAAGTGCCTTGGAACCACCTATTACAAGAGAAGAGTGTACTCAAGTTTTGGAGTGTCAAAATCAAGGTGTGTTGCCGACTGAGTTAGATCAACAATTTACCTCTATCGAAGATGCACCTATTGTTCAGACGGGATTACCTCTGGGAGATGATTGACATGTTTACAAATCTAGGAAGAAGTAAAAGAGAATGCCACATCTCAGTAATTCTCAGGATGACTGTATCATAGTTTCGGGTGAAAGCCCACATCTCAGTATGTTGTTGGACACCCTCCCTAGATTCAGGGGAAGGGGAAGCGGTATATCCACCGACTACACCCACCATGATTCGTTGTTGTTTTATTTTTGTTATATTTTGAGAAATACGTATAGTTGTAATCCTTGTGAGTTGGCTCTTTGTACCCACTCACTAAAACATTTGTATTATCTCTTTTATTTCAATGAATTTTGTCTTTTTAATATATATATATATATATATATATATATAT